TACTATGCTGTGTTTTAAGGAATCCTTAAGGCTAAAAGGAGTTGCTTCTTAAAGAATTGTGCAATAGCTTTCTAAGACTTGACTGTGATCCATAAGAAGAAATACATTTTACATCATAACCCAATAGAGGCTAAACCAAACTAAACCACAGATAACTAAAACAAATATTTCACAAAATCAGACCTGCCCTTACCATGTGTGAGACATTCTAGTATTTTCTGTTTAACCTTTTAAAATGTTGGTGGAAACCATCCAATAAATTAATGTTGGAATTTACTAATATCTTGAGACCAGTCTAGTGAGGACAGACATGTAAGCAAACATGTGCAATAGAATATACTACTGAGGACAGTAGGGTTACGAGAGAGAGGGCTATTCCTATTTTTCCCCCTCTTTCCTTTTTCTAGTTTTTTCTTATCTCTTCATCATAGTAAATGGGGTTCTTATAGCTTAGAGATGCCTTATTTGTGAGTACTCTTGCTCTTGAAGGAAGGATTGCATTGTCTGGCGTGCTTGGGTAAATTAGATCCGCTTCTACCCTGAGACCACCCTGGGATCCTGACCAAGGAGAAGGTCAGAATCACCATCCCAAGATAATTTCAGGGGGAGCCAAAATATTACAAAGCAGTGGAAAGTGGAGGTATACTTTTTTCCCTAACATAGTCACTGAAATTTTAAGTTTTTTGTGGGAACAGGTGCAAAAATGTTTAGAATTGAAAACAGCTAGAAAGAAAAATATTGCCTCCCCCTGCATGCATACCCACCTACAATAGAAAAAATATTAGCCAGGCAACTAAAAATAGAAAAAATTAGCTGTGTGTGGTGGCACATGCTTGTAGTGCCAGCTACTCAGGAGGCTGAGGCAGGAGGATCACTTGAGCCCAGGAGTTTGAGGTCACTGTGAGCTAGGCTGACGTCACAGCACTATAGCCCAGGCAACAACAGACTGAGACTCTGTTTTAAATACACATATATACCACCGCTGTCAGCCAGTCCTATCCTCAACATTTCAGACTCTGTCCCTTCTTGTCTTCACTGCATGGTGGTTGTTCAGGATTTATCCTCCTCTAGACTCTGCAGTCCCCGCCTCTAGGCTCATGGCACTTTTTCTGACTTCTTCTCCATTTTAGATACCAACGTGATCTTAATGTGAGTCTTTCCAACATGATGCTTCTTTGCTTAAGCCTTGACAATGATTTCCTAGTGCCAAAAGGATGAGGTCTAAACTGCTTAACGTGTCCTAGGAAGCTTTTCAAGATCTGGCCTCATCGACCGCCCCGGCCTCACTACACTGAGCTTCCTACAGCTCCCGAACGTGCCTCACTCCCTCACTCCTGTGCCTGTGCAGACGCTGTTCTCTTTGCCTGTAACAACATTCCTGGCATGCACCACCTGGCTAACTCCTCCTTAGCCTACAAGGCTAAGCTCAAATATGCATCCTCCGGGACAAGAGTTCCAAGGCTCGCTCCCCACCCTCTCAATCCGGGTGGGATAACACATTCTCTGTGCTTCCTTAACACCGTGGCTCCCACCATAATCCTTAATACATTGAATTGTGGTTGTCTGTCTGTCTGTTTACCTGGCTCTCTCTCTCATTGGCCTGTTACTCCCGAGGGGTAAAGGACTCTGTCTTATGTATATTCATCTTCATATGAATGGAGCTTAACATATAGCAGGAGTCTAATAAGTGTTTATTGATTGCATTCCTCTATTTAAAAAAAAATGATTTTTTTTTTTTTTTTTGAGACAAGCGTCTCACTCTGTTTCCCAGGCTAGAATGCTGTGGCATCAGCTTAGCTCACAGCAAACTCAAATGGCTGTGTTCAAATGATCCTCCTGCCTTGGCATCCTGAGTAGCTGAAAATAAAAAAGTGATTTATAAAATTCAAAGAAATGGAAATTCCTTGAATAGAGAAATAGAATTGAGCAAATTTCGTGGGCAGTATAACTTAGAACTCTTCTTGGTGCTTATGGTATAGTTTTCTTGTTTGCTGAGACTGTATTTACTGTATAATGTGTTATTTCCCATAGCAGAGAAGATCTGTGGAGTAGGGCTGGTGGGTGGGAGTGGGTTTATTCCATTGACCTAAGACAGCGACTTAACTTTATATAGCTCCTTCCCTGCCTGGGCCTCTGGGTTTTCTTTCTGGGTGGAGATCATCTTCTATAGGAAATGGAACTGCTCCAAGCCGAAGAAGTTTTTACTTTTACTAGTTCTTTTTGTGTTCTGCTGTTCAAACATTAAAAACACTGAGCCCTGTTTGAGTCTTGACAGGATTATGTTTCATGATCCCCCAAAAGTGTTTGTGTAACCTCAAGCCATGCTGAAAGCGAAATGCAGCTTAAAGTGGGATTCCGTGGGACCGGACTCAGCTTTTCATCTTGCCACTTGGCTGTGTGCATGGTGTTTGAACCCGTGGTTCCTCCTGAAGTCCATAAGAGTTGTATGTCAGTCAGTGAGGTCCAAGGCCAGAGTGCTTGCTTCCCAGCAAGTAGAGAGAACTTTAGAAATTTCACAACAAAAATGTATTTAGCTCCTAGTTTGTGCAAGGCCCAAAGCTTTGTGCTATGGATGACACGGGTTGATTAGGAACGGGGCTCCACCCTCAGGAGGCCTCCTATGTAGGAAGAAAGGCTGACAAGCAAAGTTTTGGAGACATGAGAGAGCATAACCTGCTCCAGCCCCAGTAATTACTCTGGTGTCCAGAGCATCAGAGAAAGGAACACCTTGTATTGGCCTTTGTACCAGACGAAGGTTTAGGTTTTCTCAAGTACATTATTCCCATCTTACAGCTGACGTGTAGTGTGGTCAGAAGCCCAGAAAATTAAATTGGGAAATAAAGCAAGTAGATTGAGGTGATAGGTTATTCAAGCTCTTGACGGTGTTTTATTGGGGAAGAGGGGGCTGTACCCTGCTTTATTTGCCCTTGGCAGATGGGATGGAGTCTGGGAGAGAGATCTCCAAGAAAGTAGGGCTGTATGAACTCATATTTCATGAATCTAGCTACTAATCTGGAATAAGTAGAGTTGCAAGCCAGTGATGGAGGCATGGATCAAAACCTCTTCCTCCAAGACAAAGTGAAGGAGAAAAGGGAGGATACTTTTGAGGTAGAGGTGACAATGTCACTGCACCCATCAGATGATAATATCGTTTTCGTGTAGTAGGAAATACAGCCACGGGGAGCGGGGAAACAGGGTAAAAGAGGGGGTCTGTTTGGGATAGAGAAGTGTTGCAAAGTGTAATTATCTTCACATTGAACTTTAATCATGTCTGTTAGCATTTCCTTACACTGGGGGCAGTTGAAAATCTTTTCCCAGACCCCCTATAAAGGATTTTCTAGCAGGGGAGCCTAGAGCTTCCTGGAGGTTGTATATATAAGGTCTTTTCTTTCCTGATTTTCAAGTTTGACTGTGACTAGGAGACAAACCTTTCTATACCACAGTTATCACTGTTCAAAACCTCCTTGGAAAAGAAAGGAAGAAAGCCTTAATATTTTCCTTTGCAAAATGGTGCATTCAATAGCACCGAGGCTGCAAATGTATTAAAATGTTACATTTCTTGACTAATCTTTCATTTTCGTGTAGTAGCATACAGACAGCCTAGCTTTCTTTTATCTTTTCTTAAATAAAAAAATAATAATAATTAAATGTTTCAATATAAGTAATGGGTACAAAATTCCAAAGGTACAACAGGTTTTACAGTGAGCAGTAAGTCTGTGTTTCCCCTGTGTCTTCTAGCCATCCGGTTCCCCTCCCTGGGTAACCAGCGTCACCAGTTTCTTGCTGTGACTTTGTGGCACGTTGTTGATTCCTGTGTTACTATAGAAGGGACATTGTGGAAACTGGTTTAACAAATAATTCAAGTCCCTTACTGTGGCCGGGCCCTAGATGCTAGAGCCTTAGTTTTGGTGAAGTCTTAACTAAGAAACTTCATTTTCATGCCTACAATATAGCCAGAATGAAGTCCCAGCGCTATCTTTATTAGCGAGCACATTACCATCTGCAGGACAAAAACTTTTCAATTCAGAAAGCTTTGGACGTAAGAACTTTGAAAGTATTTTAGTCCCTGTTTCGAACCCCAGCCATGTGGTTCCTATTAAATTACATGACTGATAGCTGCCGCTTCTGGTTATTTAATACAGGCTCCTGTTGCTAAATGGCTCCAGTGGATGTCTGTGTGTTTATTTTGCCATCGAATATCAAGCATAAATTTTTCTTACTCTGGTAGCTCATCAAGTTCTTGAATCTTTCACCACAAGCTGTTGAGACAGGAACTATGCCGGAGCCACCCCTCACACCCTTGCAAAGTGGGTTGTTCAATAAATGTTTCTCCGTGATTCTAAGAAAGACTCGGTGAGGTCACATGCCTGGCAGGAGGAAGGACGCTGGGAATGAGCGATAGGAGGTTTTCCATCGCCCTTTCCTCCGGGTCAGTTGCTGACCGCCTCCGTAACGAGACTCTGGCTCCTCGACCCCCATCAAATGGTTGATACCACTCGGTTTTCAGGAAAACGTGGTCACCGCCGCTTCCTTACTGCAGCCCCTGCAGAGAGGAATTCATATTGGCTGATGTTTTTTGGTTACACCCAGGATTCCTGTGCGAGGAAAGGGAAAGTAGAGTGAATTAATGACTGTGACTAATTATGACTTACTTCCTGTGCTTAGGAACTTATCTTTCGTTGCTGTTTATGCGCCCTGAGAAGGAAGTACGGGTGGCAGATACGGGCCACTGGCCTGAGAGTCCCCGGGCCTGGGTTCTGTGCCTACCACGGTTGTTGTGCAGCCCGAGGCATGTCACTGCCCTTTCCTGGGCCTCGGTTTCCCTATCTGTACAATAAGAGTTAAACTGTATGATCTTGATAGTCCTTTGCTTTTCAAAGATCTGTGACGTGGGGTCCCTTTTCCTAAGTCTGTGCTCCTGGCACCTTCCCTTCGCCCTTGCCTGTACTCAGACCCCAGACATCAGTTACTGACTTGGATCTCTGATTTTGTGCTTCTAGGTGTTCTTCGTGTCCGACCTCTTCAAGACTAAGACGAGCCTCTCTCTTCCTCCTCCTACTATCAGAAAGGAGATCCTCTCACCTGTGGACATTATTGACAGGAACAATCACCACAACATGGTGTAGGTGCTGCCCACCTCCTGAGCTGTTTTAGTAAAATGACTGCTGACAGCAAGTTCTTGCTGCTCTCCAATCTCATCAGACAGTAGAATGTAGGGAAAAACTTTTGCCCGACTGATTTTTTTTTTTTAAAAGGAAAAAAATTAAGTTTTTACTTTGTGGCCTTCCAAAATAGGTAGTGTTCACCTATGCGGAAACAACAGCAAACTAACACCAAGTGCCAGAGTCCTGGATGTGCAATTAGTTTAAGTGTTCATGTTCTAGTGAACACAGGCTTGTTCAGGAACAAACACTAAAATGATTCGAGTAGAGGCTGCTGGTCACCTCTTGTGACCCGAGGAATCCCAGGCCTGTGAGAAAAGCGCAAATTCACATTGTAGCACACGAAGCCAGAAATAGCACTGAGCTGAGAAAATAGCCGTGGAGGGGTGCCCGTCCTGCGTCCCTCTGTCCATCCCTTTCTATTCTCTCCTGTGACTTTGGTTCAGGAAGTCTTGTTTTTTTAAATATAAGGAAAGAGCAAGTTTGCTCAGTCACGCGATCAGATCCCAAATCCAGATGCCCAGTGCTAAGGCCTCATCACTTCCCCAGCCCATAGGCCAGCAGCCGCGGTCCCTCACTTTAGTGATTAGGAGACTCTTTGTGGATGAGCGAACTTCACAAATAGCACAACTTCCGGAGCAATCGGGGGCACGCGCCCTCACGTGTCTTCTTTGGACGCATCATCCCGTGACGTTGAGACGCCCGTTGCGGGATGCTGCTGTGTGCACATCAGTCACCAGGCACTTGCACGCTCTTAGAGAGGGTTAGACTTTCTCCCTTGACATCCTTGCCGGGTGCCTACCGGGATTGCCTGTGAGGGTCCGAGGATGAGCAAAGGCGCACGGTCTGCCACTGGCTGATGGAAGGCAGCCTTCTGTACAACAGATGGGGGAGGGGAGGGGGCAGAGTGAAAAAGGAACCAACCTTTTGGCTGCTCCAAGTCAGAAGGGGCCAAGAGTAGCAGCGGTCTCATGCTCGAGAGGCTGCCCTTCAAGATCGCAGAGCTGAGGGTCTTTGTGGGAGTCGCTCTTGCTAAGCTGTGTAAAGCACTATCGTCTTGGGGTTGACCCCTAGGGCAGTTCTTGGTAGGTTCTGCTGGGCAGAACACAGGGGTTCAATCTCCGTAGAGAGTTTTTCTCATCCTCTATCCGTGTCTTTCAAGCAAGGTCTCCCTGTAGGCGGTAGATAGGAATCCCTTCTACTGAACCTTTGAGGAAGGGAGGAAGGAAGAAATGCTTTTAGGTCTTGGATGCAAACCTTTCAAAGGGCTACACGTAACCATATGGATCAACCACATGCACATCCTTACTACCGAATCCGTCCTTTCATTTCAACTTATAGCAAGCTATGATTTTTATATATAAATATTATATAAATAATGTATAAAACATTAAAAGTTAACTATGTAAAATATTATTTCTGAAACAATTTTAGCTATATCCACTATGATTATAAACTGTGTTTCGACCTGTGTTATTTACATTAGCTGCTTAAAAAAGCATTGAGTTCATTTTTTTTTTTAATATCAACTAAAATGTAGTTCTGTGGTAGACATTTGTTTTGTAATGAAAGAAATAACTGCAACTAGAGAAAACTGTATAAAAACATTAAATTGTCAGTATTTTTGTAAGGTTCCATTTTGTAAAGAGAATAATATTCAAAGACTTTTGTAGCATACGAAGTGAAAACTTGTATCTGCAAAACTATACTTGTATTAAATGTGCTTTTTAAATAAAAGCTCATAACACAACTAATGGAGGCATTGGAAGCGTGATGTGTTTAGGAGATGTTTGTCTCAGGTGTGTGGGGTGGCCTCTTTAAATGGGCTGGCCTCTCTCCTGGGTCTTGCAATGGGAAATGGGGGGAGGGGTCATAGTGTGGAGACTGATGTCTATTCTGCTCTTTCATCTCTGCAAGCCTGTTTGCAGGTTGAGGCTCTGGCTCTACTCTCATCTCAGGCTCTTCTAAAGAGCTTTTGTATTCTAAAGGGGGGTTTTCTATCAGGGAGGAGGGAGCTGTGGGTCACCGAAGGCAGATAAGGAGCCAGTGGTCTAGATAAGGTGTGCTGGGAGCTTATGAGGGAGGCCTGTACACAGCCCACATCAAAGGGAGGACCGCTGAGAACAGCTGAGAACGTTTGGCTCCTGCTTACCTTCCTTGTGTTGCTCCAACCTGGAAGCTAGAAATTCACAATTATCGAGCACCTGGGTGCCGGGAATTTCTGTCTGTTTGTTCCTTTTCAGCCTCACAACAGCTCGTGTTTGGAGAAATAAGGAGCACCAAGGAATGCAAAGATTAAATGACTTGTCTAAGATCCTAGAACAGTAAATTGCAGGACAGGTCTTACATTAGTTTGCTATGGCTGCAGTAACATATCGCCACAAACTTAGTGGCATAAAACAACATATGTTATAATTTGGCAACTCTGGAGCCTCTAGGGGAGAAGCTGTTTCCTTGCCTTTTCTAGCGTCTAGAGGCCAGCCGCATTCCAGGCCCTCGGCCCTCTGCCTCCATCTTCAAAGCTGCCAGTGACCCTGGGCCGAGTCCCCCTGCCATGTCTTTCGTTCTCCTCTTCTGTGCCCCTTCCACATTTAAGGCCCTGGTGATGTACACGGGCCCACTCAGGTAATCTGGATAATCCACCTATGTGAAGGTCAGATGATTAGCAAACTTAACTCCATCTGCTACCTTAATTAACCTGTGCATGTGGCGTACATTCACAGATTCCAGGGATGAGGACCTGGACATCTTTGGGGACCACTATTCTGACTACCACAGTTTACCCTGTGGCCCCCAAAGATTCACATCTGTACCTCATGCAAAATAAGTTCACCCTAAAGTCCCAACACACGACAGCAGCAACTCAAAATCCAAAATTTTATTTAAACCTTAACAACTCAAACATCTCAGATCTCATCATCTAAACTAAACCGTCCAAATTAAGTAAGGATGAGGGTCTGGGTTTAATCTACCCTGAGGTATGGTTCTTCACCTGCGGACCTATGAAACTCGAGAAACAAGTTATCTGCTCCCAAAATTCAGTGATGGGACAGGCCTAGAATAACAGTTAAAGACATTCCTAGTCAAAGAGGGAGAAAGTGGAAGGAAAAAAGGAATCATCACTTCCAAGCAATTTTAAAACCTAGCTGGGCAAGCTCCATTTGGTTTCAAGGCCCAGAAATAAACCTGAGTGGCTCAAGTCTTCTTCTCTCGCCATTAAGGTCAGCCTGTCCTTTGCTGCTAGTCAAAGCAGCCCCTGGGGCTCCTGGGCTAGCTGAGCAGTTTCTCAGCTTTTTTCTGTTAAGTGGTGATGCACCTTTGGGCCCCGGGCTATCCAGGGAGATTCTGAGGCCAGAGTCCAAGTTTTCACTTCTGAGTCTGAGGAACAAAGGTCCAGAGGGACAGAATAACACTTGCTGGAGGAGGTGGGAGAGGGAAGGTGCGCGGGGTGGAGGAACAGGGAGACCAGAACCCAAGTCTCGTGATGCTCCTCCCTGGTCTTCCCATTCAACTTTTCCAAAAGCACCTGACAGACTAAACTATTCTCAGGAAGAAATAATCCCATTTCAAGGGGATGTAAGGGAAAGATGGAGTTGCACCCCACAATATCTATGCCCTTGTGATGAGCAGCATGATGTGGACTTTGGAGTCAGACCCAGGTCAAAGTCCTTGCCCCTTACTGGCTATGTGATGGCCTTTGGACAAGTTCCTTAACTTCCCTGAGCCCTGGGTTGTTCCTTGACAGAGACTTATGAGACCTGCTTTCGCGCCTCTTTGCTAACGGTATTCTGTCTGCCTTGCCCCTTGATTCTCACAATGTGGTCCACAGACTAACAACATCTGTATCCCTGGTGAGCTTGGGAGAGATACAGACCTGGAAAGCCACCCTCCCCCACCCACACCTACAGAATCAGAATCCCTTTTTTTTTTGAGACAGAGCCTCACTTTGTTGCCTGGGCTAGAGTGGAGTCAGCCTAGCCCACAGTAACCTCAAACTCCTGGGCTCAAGCGATCCTCCTGCCTCAGCCTCCCAAGTAGCTGGGATTACAGCATTGGCCACCATGCCCGGCTAGTTTTTTCTATATATTTTTAACTGTCCAAGTAATTTCTTTCTATTTTTAATAGAGACGGCGTCTCGCTCTTGCTCAGGCTGGTTTCAAACTCCTGAGCTCAAACAATCCACCTGCCTCAGCCTCCCAGAATGCTAGAATTACAGGTGTGAGCCACTACTCCCCGACCCAGAATCCCTTTGAGCAAGAGCCCTAGGTGACTGAAAGACACAATAAAGTTTGAGAAATATGCCCACTCTTTGCTCCAGGAACTTGCAGATTCTGTTCAGGTGTGCCCTCCTGCCAGCCACATCCCTGCAGGGCTTGGCTCAGTGCATGCTGTGCAGACATCAATGACCTCTTACCTCTGTGTACCAAAATTACATGTGTAAAGGTCTGTATCAAGATGGTAAGATTTTCAGGGGCAAAAGCAAGTCTTACTTACCCTCTTGGCCAATTTCTGCCTTCCTGCCTTGCACTGAATAGTTCCTGATAATTGAACCAATTAATCAGCATCCGGATCAAAAAGTCACATGACTGTTGGTAACCGCCCAATTAAACAGGCTGCTGAGATACAAGTAGTGTAAAACATTGTCCCTCTCTTTCAGAATTTGTGAGGACTTGTGTTTTTTCCAAGGTAGAGTAAAATAAGAAGAAGAAAAAAAAGCTTTGCCAGCTCTAAATCTGCATAAGATTTCTGCCAGTGAGAATGAATTCATATATTCATTATCTTATCCCAAAATCTTTTCAAAAGACCATTTATGTGCAAATGACTGGCCTGGGTACTTATAGGAGGTTTGCTTCATTTAAATCCTCAGAAACAGCTGTTAAAGTGTTACAGCAAGTGTTACAGCAGGCCAAGAGAACACACAGAGAGTTGGAGAATCAGTTTATTTGCCGGTGGGCTCAGAGGGGCCTCGCCACCAAATTCTGAGCACCATCTACTCGATTTTTCCCACTTTTATTAAGTTGGGGTGGTCTGAGGGGTGGGGTATCAGGTGTAGGTTAGTTGATGTGTCAGGTAACAGGTTAATATTATGCTGATTCGCCAGGCAATAGCTTTAGTGTTACGCTGATGCCAGGCAATAGACTAGTTGATGGGCCAGGAAACAGGTTAGTATTATGCTGATGTGGGTCTTCTGGAGGGGTAGGGGTAGCTGGTGCCTGATGGCCAAGTAATAGATGGGGGTTTCCCTCATCAAAAGTAGGTATGACTTGGGGGGAAATGAAGAGGAGTTGGTTATTGGGTACAAAAATACAGTTAAATAGAAGGAAAAACATCTAGTATTGGATAGTACAGTAGGGAAATTATAATTAATAATTTATTATATATTTCAAATTAGCTAGAAGAGAAAAATTATAATGTTCCCAACACAAAAAATATTTGAGGTGATGGCTATTCCAGTTACCCTGACTTGATCATCACACATTGTTTACATGTATCACAATATCACATGTACCCCCAAAATAGGTACAACCATGATATGTCAATAAAAAAATACAAAAAAGGGAAAAGAAACAAGGTAAATAGGATTAGCCCCATTTTATATAGTGGGACACTGAGGCTCAGTTAAGAATCCTGTTTTCATTCACATGTCTAATAAGGGATAGATCTGGGATTCAGACCCAAACTATTTCAGCTACTTATTGACTAATATTTATTAATTACTTCCTGTGTACCGGGAACTTGAGGTAGGATAGTGGATAAAATGGTGGCCCAGCTTCAAGGAGCTTATAGTCGAGAGGGGAACACAAACGATCCGATTGCAAGTGTGTAATTATGAACTGAGAGGAGCATTCCGAATGAAGAATATAGGAAGCTGGGAAAGTTTTCAGCAGGAGGACCCATCCTGTTAAGGATACCTTCCCTGAGATCCGCCTAGGGCCAAAGACTGTTTACATCACTCCTCTGCCTCAACAAAATGCATGGAAAGAGCTCTGCCAAACGCAGGTCTAGGAGAAGAGACAGATGAGTAAATAAATACTGGTGTGGATGGGAGGAGGCACCTTTATGAAGTTTTGTGATAGCATAAATGGAATGAGTCAGAAAGACTTTGCTATTCTCCATGGTGGACCTTCTTGCTGCCTTGTGTTAGCATTCCTTCTAGAACATCCAACCCTGAAAAAAGAATGCCATTTTTTTTTTTGCATGAACCCTTCCAGTGGTGATAAATATGCCTTTAACAACCATTTACAGTTTTTAAATCACTTAAGTGCATACACTCACATTTGGATCCTCCCGACAGCATTTTAAAAGAAGACAGTGAATGATAAAATGTAACCAAAATGTTAAGAAAAAAAAGAAAAACAAACATTTGTCGGGTGTGGGGCAGGTGAGAGGGGGGAAGAGGGATATATATATCCATGTATATATACATGAATATATACATACATAGTGTGATGCACACTGTCGGGGGATGGACACACTTGAAGCTCTGACTCAAGGGGGGAGGGGAGACAAGGGCAATGTATGTAACCTTAATGTTTGTACCCCCATAATATGCTGAAATAAGAAAAAAGAAGACAGCGAATGAATGAATGATCAGAGATAAATGTTAGTATCAGGTAGGTCTTGGTAGTTTTCTTTTGATTCCAAAAATGGTATATAAATAATAAGAAAATGGTGGATAATCTATTTTTATAACTTTATAACAAAGAATATACAAGTGGGAGATAAACATATACTAACAAAAGCATGCTCAACT